AGCTTTCTATAATTTCTGAATTGGTCTTCTTCTACCTACGGTCATCCAGATTGTTTGTTCTGTCACAACAATTCCAAATCCTTTTCTTTTCTTTTTAACCTATTGATTAGGCAACTATAAGTCTAAATTCAATCTAATAATTTCAATAATAATAAACGATTATCATGAAACTCATTATGTATATGTGTATATATACATATTACGCAATATCATTATCATCAACCTAATATCATGTGATTGAATAAACTATAAAATCCATAAAATAAATAATAAACTCACCTTTAAAGGACTTAATCAACTTGTCTTCTTCCTCCTACTTTCTTTTCTCTCTCTTTCTCTCTTTCACGTTATTTTTTTCTTCTTTGTTCATAGGACAGCCTCCTCCATAAGCCTTCTTACCAAAAGATCCAACAACCTAAATATATTTTTATATATATAAGAGTTTAACCTATCCAACAATATTACCTTATTTAAACTACATGTATAAGAGTCCTAATAAGTCTCTAGGTAAGACTTTTTATTAGAGATATATTAGTCTTTTTTTTTAAAAAAAAATTTATTTTTATCCTTATATATATATAATTACTCCTAGGTAGTCAATGCTCCAAAATAATAAAATAATTTTTTTTATATGGGTAATTACAGCTTTAAAATGTAATTTTTAACAAGTGAATCCATTACTCATTAATAGTGAATAATGTGCCCAGAAGAGAGTACGTATTGGATGATCTAGATCCATTTCAACTTTTCTCTTTGGATTAATCACAGTTAATTAAGCCCCCATTGGTGGTTTTGGTCCTGGCTTTATAATATTTTATGTGTCCATTATGTTGTTCTTTCCTCCAGTAGCCACTAGGCTGCTCAAGTGATGTTGCGTTAGTGGAAGGATTTTTTATATTAGTGCATTGTAGGGTTGCTTCTAATTAGTAGATTGGAGAGTTCTGATGATCGACAACCAAAGGGAATGGTAGTGGGTTTCGTGGACACAAGTTGTACACGCTTCTGATCTCATCTTCCCTTGGATTTTTGTTCCACAAATAGATGAATATCAGTGTTGAAATTCACTGGATGATTGAGAGCAGCGTAAAACTATTGTCTCTCAATTGTGATGTATTTCGTCCCACATAAATGATAATAATTTATAAAAAAGACACTATATTCAACGAGATTTCCGAAATTGAGAAGTTTTAAAATAGTCAAACATAGTAGAAAAAATAATTAACATTATAAATATTGCTTTTTTTGATTATTTCCTGAGGTTGATACATAAGTTATAATGATAGGTCTACAAAAGGACTGTAGTAGTAGGTCACGTGACGTTAGTTTGATGGACGGATGAGCTCCTGCGTGTAGTGATTTATGTCCGGAAAANAGTTATAACGATAGGTCTACAAAAGGACTGTAGTAGTAGGTCACGTGACGTTAGTTTGATGGACGGNTAAGTTATAATGATAGGTCTACAAAAGGACTGTAGTAGTAGGTCACGTGACGTTAGTTTGATGGACGGATGAGCTCCTGCGTGTAGTGATTTATGTCCGGAAAATGACGATCACTGGAGGTTTAAGGGATATAGTGACATCCGCTAATCTTACAATTTTTTCTTTTCTTTTCTTTTCCATTAGATTTAGAATTTGGAACCATCCAATTATCCCTTCTTAGGACATGGGCTATCACCTGTTTTCCTCTGTTGAGAGAGAGAGAGTTATAGTAACCTGGGTAAGAAAATACTAGCTCCTAACCGGGTGGNCTTTTCTTTTCTTTTCCATTAGATTTAGAATTTGGAACCATCCAATTATCCCTTCTTAGGAAATGGGCTATCACCTGTTTTCCTCTGTTGAGAGAGAGAGAGAGAGAGAGTTATAGTAACCTGGGTAAGAAAATACTAGCTCCTAACCGGGTGGAAAACCTGTTAGCCAAGCCAAACTCTATAATTCCATGTCCGTTTTTTGATGGCGGCTTGTTTGCCGTTAAAATTCTGCCTTTCCAAGCTCTTGTAATGGAATTAGCAAGACGACAGTGGCACAACATATTTTCGACGCTAATAATATCTCAAAGATCGAAGTTGATATGNGTTTTTTGATGGCGGCTTGTTTGCCGTTAAAATTCTGCCTTTCCAAGCTCTTGTAATGGAATTAGCAAGACAACAGTGGCACAACATATTTTCGACGCTAATAATATCTCAAAGATCGAAGTTGATATGTGCAAAAATGTCGTTATCCCTGGAGTATGCCCGACTCATTGTAGAGTTAAACAATTCAAACATAATCTTTGCGTGAATTAGTGGATCAACTTGAGCGGTGGCAATTTTTTATTCGAACCTAATAGGGTAGGAACACGAGAACTACACAAAATTAAAAAGAATATCGAATGAATTGAATTAGTATCAATAAAAAATTACCAATTTGCTGTTAAATTCTGCCTTTCACTCTCCTGTAATGGAGTTAGTACAGCAGGAACGTCGTTCTCGACGCCAACATAACAATATATGTGAAATGCTGCCATGTACAGAACGCGACCTGTTCAATTGTTTAGCTAAAGCATATAAAGTGAATTGCACCGTAGATTGGATCACTTTGAGTGCTGGTATGACTTAGTATACAGTAGTGCTTCCAGCAAGATTAGGAAGAGCAGGGTCCATTTCCTTAAACTGGTGGAAATATGGGTCCACTTGCTAAAGGAAGCAACTTCCTACATCTTTCGGATCACACACTTGAAAAACACTAATCTCATTTGTTTTAGTGAAAAAAGAACTCGTCCCAACCATTCGTCTATTAAATACATAACTGTAATACATTACCAATCCAAGATGTAAGCAGTGTGTTACTTACAAGGTGACCCGCAGAAAGCAAATTTATTTTTAGTAAAACAATAGAATATATCATGAAAAACCTAATATGAGAAAGAGAGAGACGGGAAAAGAAAGATATCACCTGACATATGATTGATAGTCCAAAAACGAGGAGACCAATCAATGAGAATAGAAGAAGAAACAGAAGATCCATACACCTAATTTGCCGTGTTTGCATAATGAGAAGGCTCGAGAACTTCACTTTTTTACCTCATGTTTAATCTTATGAGTGGTAATAGGCATTAGCATGCACACCGACTAAACCTAATTTTTATGCTATTTGTAGAATTCAAACTCAGATGTGCAGGTTTACGCCTCGTTCCATTCACGTCAATATTCATTTGACTTTACGGGAATATTTGTTTTGAGTATTGCTGTGCATAGTATTAAGGAATGTATTTCTTACATTTTCAATGTAAATGCAAATTAGTATTGGTAATAGAAAATATTTCATTCTCCTCCCATATTTGTTTATTTAATAGGTACTATGATGGGTCTCACAAGCAACCATCTATTCTATCACATATTGTATAACAAATATATTATTTTACTTTTAATATCATCCATTCCATTACTCCGTTTGTGTAACGCTGTTGTACAATGTTTGGTATAATACAAGGTATGACAATCTATACTCAAAAAATTTTGGATAATATAAAAAATCTACATAAAAAATAAAGAATATGATGCTATGAATTGGTGATATTGTAAAAAAAAAATTGGTAACATCGTACGCTTAAACATAATAAAACAAAAAATTTAAAATAATTTTTTTTTAAAAAAAACCGATAATATTGTTCACTTAAATATAATATAAAGAAAAAATTTAAAATTATTTTTTAAAAAAAAATGGTAACATTGTACGCTTAAACATAATATAAAATAATACATGAAAAGAATTCAAAAACCGGTGACATCGTATACTTAAATATAATATAAGAAAAAAATTCAAAATAATTTTTTAAAAAAATTTAGAAAAAAATCGGTGACACCGTACACTTAAATATAATTTAAGGAAAAAATTCAAGATAATTTTTTAAAAAAAATTAGTAACCCCGTACACTTACATATAATATAAGGAAAATATTCAAAATAAATGTTAGGAGAGTATTTTTGTCATTTTCCTTGTTTATACCATTGGTAGATTTATACCAACAAATAATACCACTTGGTAGGTGGTATTTATTAAAGTCATGTACAAGAATTAAAAGTTATTATTCAAACCAGGTTAGTATTGTAATTCAAAAAATAATACTGCACATAAAATATCAAACAAACAAAATAATAGGTGGACTTCAAGTACTATTTGTTACTGTCTCACCTCCTTATACCACTGTTATCTTCGAAACAAACTAGCCCTACATGAACGTACACCTTTCCGTCCACTACATGGAAAAGGAAGCAACTTCGTATATCTTCCGGATCACACACTACCGAGACATTGATCCCATCGTTCGGACGTGCAACTTTAAATATACATATATTTGTGCATTTTTAATTAAGGCAGTCTTTCCTTCCGCTATATGGGAAAAGTTAACTGTTTCTTAGCCAGAGGGTTCAATTGCAGTCGATTTACAATGAGTAGTGATAAGAATTTTAATTAGAACAAGTCGTTAGTTCGAATCGAATTTCTTCTGTGAGCACGACAACGTCTGAAGTTTACAATTGTAGTTCTTTTTCTCCCCTAATTCATACAAAAGACTATAGTACTACTTTTTGATACTATATTGACGATTGATATTAAGAAAGGTTTGACACCAAAACATGACTCCATATGATAAGCTTAAAACTAAAATAGAATCATTCCAAATCGAACCATAGTGGTAACTTAACTTAAATTCAATTGTAATTGTAACGTTATAAGTTGTAGTGATATTGTTATCGTTTGAAACAGTAACTTACATTCACCAGAAACAATTCTTTTTCGTATTTGGAAAAAATCTATGAAACAAACCTCCTCCAATTAAAGTTGGGTAGCCTCATTTGACTGATCCAAACTCATCCAGACCCAACAATTCTACATCATCACACAAGGTCATACATACCCTAACCAGGGTTAGCTAACAAACCCTATAATTAACCAGTGTCACTTTCCACGTACTATATATACAAATCCTCCCACATGCAATCATCAGGAGCCCCTCTCTCGATATTTCTATAGGCTTTTGAGGAGCTTTCCAAGATGAAGTCTTTCATGCTTGCCAGCCTCCCTCTCTTAATCCTATGGTTTGGAGCCACTTACCAAATTTCATGGCCTCACACTTTGGTCCTGCTTTCTTTGCTTACTCTTGTTCCCTTCTTCGTAAACCTATGGGTAGTTCCAGGAGGCTTTGCATGGCGAAATTATTATCAAAATCCCAAAAAGCTTAGAAATCTGAGTGGTCCTATGGGTTGGCCCTTCTTGGGGTCTTTACCTATAATGGGTTCTCATGCTCATCGAAAACTAGCTGCGATGGCCACTGTATTAGGCGCAAATCGTCTCATGGCACTTAGTCTTGGCGCAACGCGTGTGATAATCAGTTCTCACCCAGAAACTGCCAAGGAAATCCTATGTGGGACTTCATTTTCCGACCGTCCAATAAAGGAATCGGCTCGTTTGTTGATGTTCGAACGGGCTATGGGGTTCGCTCCGGCCGGGAACTACTGGCGCTATCTCCGGAGGATTGCTGCAACCAACATGTTCTCCCCTAGAAGAATTTCAAGCCTTGAGGGGCTTAGACAACGTATAGCCAATGGGATGGTGGTGGGGGTGATGAATGAGATGGATGAGAGAGGGTTTGTGGAGGTGAGAGGGATATTACACAATGGTGCTTTAAGAAATGTTGTCGAGAGTGTGTTTGGGAGTGGTTTAGGGTTAGGAGAAGAGCTAGGATTAATGGTGGCAGAAGGATATGAGTTAATAGGTGAATTCAACTGGGCTGATTATTTTCCTTTGGGGTTTTTGGACTTCTATGGGGTGAAGAGAAGGTGTCACAAATTAGCAGCTAAGGTCAATGATCTTGTGGGTCAGATCATTAAAGAAAGAACACGAAGTGGGGAGTTCAGTGGGGGGAATGACTTTCTTAGTGCTTTGCTTTCTTTGCCTAAAGAGGATCAACTTAGTGAACCAGATATGGTGGCTGTCCTGTGGGTAAGGACTCTCTCTTTCTCTCTCACCCACCCACGCGCGCACACACACTCACTCATAACATAAAAACTATCCAATAAGCTCAATAACTTTTATTTTCCCCATGTGTGCAGTAAAGTTTTGTGAAATTTTAGCAAATTGAGGTACAAAATTTGGTAGGAGTTGCTTGATGTATAATATATTATTGGTGATATCGCTAAAAATTAACACTTTTAGCAAGTTGATGGTTTGATATGTTCTTGTACTTGGTTCTAAAGATGCTCATGGCCTTCAGTATATACTCCATCGTCGATTTAATAAAGCTCAAGGCAAAGTGCAGAAAAAAAAAAAGATTTTTCCCTTGTTTCCTAATTTTAAAACTTTAACGAAGTGACAAAAGCTTTAGACTGAAAGGTGGTATTGGTGTTCGAACCCAAAACAGAAACGTTGTATTGGTGTCATATCATAATAATTCTGTGGCACTTATAAAATTCTTGCATTTCACTTAGTCAGCAGACATATGACTGAAAAAAGGCATATTGACCTATGAGTCAAAAGATCATGGTTGGTACGTAGACTTTATATTTTAACTTTAAATTATCTTACCTGCTTTATTTCTAAAGATGAAAGACAGTCACTAAATTAACGATGTATAGAGTCACATCTAGTCTAGATCTTCGTTCCAGCAATCGCTAGTGCTGAAAATATCACTAATTAGTCACTGTGTGAATAGTAATTTCTTTTGGCCTCAATAGGGTAGTCTCTCCTAAATTTTGGACACTAGTAGTGATTGGTTCTATCCTTTTTTATACGAATTGACTTTTTATTCGTACAATTCATTAATACCAACAAACTATTAATAAAGATAGAGGACGCCAAACCCTTCAATTCCTTTTATTAATAATACCGATGATATTCTCGTAAGCTAGAGAGAGGTTTCATTTTTTTTTTTTCTGAAAAGTTATCAGAGCTGTCATTCACGATTTTTACTAATGATTATGTGTAGGAGATGATATTTAGAGGAACAGACACGGTTGCTATCCTTCTCGAATGGATAATGGCTAGAATGGTATTGCATCAAGATATTCAAGCAAAAGCCCAGAAAGAGATCGACACGTGTCTCGGCAGCCAAAGGCACGTGCATGATTCGGACATTCCGAATCTCCCTTACCTTCAAGCCATTGTCAAAGAGGTCCTCCGATTGCACCCTCCAGGTCCATTGCTCTCATGGTCCCGCCTCGCGGTCCACGATGTCCACGTGGACAATCTCTTCATCCCAGCTGGCACAACAGCAATGGTCAACATGTGGGCCATTACCCATGACCCGTCCATCTGGAAAGATCCATGGGTCTTCAAGCCCGAACGGTTCATTGAGGAAGGTGATGGTTTTTCAATGATGAGCGGCTCGGATCTAAGGCTTGCACCATTCGGGTCGGGACGGAGGGTGTGCCCTGGAAAAGCACTAGGGTTGGCCACGGTTGAGTTGTGGCTTGCGAGGCTTCTCCAACAATTCAAATGGCTTCCAGCAGGTTCAGACCACCAACCAGTTGATCTTTCGGAATGTTTGAGGCTCTCTCTTGAAATGAAGAAACCACTGGCTTGTCGTGCGGTTCGTAAGTATGGTTCGTTAATCGCTTGAAGTTGCATGGTACTTTTAGCTTGAGAAACAAAAGTTTTTTTAAGTATTTAAGTTGTACTTTGTAGATGGTCGTGATCAGTGTGTCTAGTTCAAGTGTGTTTGTAATTTAATTAAAAGTGTCTTTAGCATGGAACAATGTTCTTAACTCTCAGAGACATATGTAGACAATGTAAGCTTGAGGGAAAGAACAATTTAAAGTTGTAAATTACTGTCTCTTACTTGATTCGTAAGGAGTGGTAGTGTTTAATTAGCATGCAGCTCATTCATGGGTTTCTTCTTCTTCATATCATAGTCGAGCCTTGACTGATTAAGATGGCTGCCATTTGCATTTGCATCGAACATCAACATGGCTGCCAAACAGGTTTGAAAACTTCTCTCCCTTACCATTTGAGAGAGATTAGTGGAGAGAGAAAGCGAGAGAATCAGAGAACAAAAAAAAAAAANAAGATATTTGGACATTACCCCTAAAGTTTCGGCTTTTTTAGATCCAAATCTCTCGACTTTTCTCCTTCCGGCCAGGCATGAAGGCAAAGCTCTTTCGCCTTTATACACACATGTTTTAGTTACCAAGTGAATGCTGCACAAATCTGGTATCCTATTGATCATCTGGGACCCTCCACATAGTTTCTAGCTTTGGAGCTGGACATTGCTGGTGACGTTTCCACGAATTATTGGTCCTTTAATTAATGTCACGTAGCATTAAAATGCTGATTAGAGCTACGAGATGTTTTCGTGTCAAGTGCCACACAAATATCCACAGTTGGGAAGTATGGAGTTCGATTAATTAAGGATTGTTTTCTTGTCCTCAGCCACTGTGCTATTTGTGTTGTGTTGAGTATGGTCCAGCTCATTTAACAACGCGGCATGGATAATGATAAAGATTATTGAATTGCGACTAAAGTAATTAAAGATGCATATGATAAAGTCTTGTAAAGAACTTTTCATATGTTTTAGCACCTGAAGATAAGACTCAACTGATATTAACCCAAGAACAAAAGAGGATAGTACTCAACTGCATCAACTTTATTCTCTCTTTAGTTCTAGGGGTGTGAAGCTACGTTTGGTACTTAATAACGCTTTTACATGTGGGAATAGACTTAACATAGGAATAGAATGTATATTACTATCCTAATATTTGATAATAACTAGAATTAAGTGCTATAATATAGTTGAAAATCCACTCAAATATTTAGATAATCTCTAAACATGGACTAAATATTAAATGTAACAGTGATATCATGTCAGCAATATCACTAATCAATAATAAAACACCAAGTGGACAAGGTGATCCTTACTTGGATAGCTATTTACTTACATACAGAAAATATGAGTAGTTATTTGTTTAGGTAGAAGGATATTTATTAATTTTTGTAGGGTCTATTTGTTTTTTTATTTTGATATTATTGGTTGGTGATACTATATCAACATTGTCACATAGTATCACCATTGTAAAGAATATTTTTTTCCTAAACTCGGATCCGAACCACGACCTCAGACATAATCTTGGAATCATGAACTTAGACTCGGACTTGACTCGAACGCGGACCAAATAAAGTGCACTACTGAATACCAAATATTGGAATAAACATCATTAAGTAATGATTATTTTCTTCTCGTGCTTCATTACTACTTACCAAATGCAACATTAAAAATACCGGATAAACTATATATCTGTATTGCGAAGATCAATTACACATGAAAGTCCGATATATATGTTGGTATCTTGAAAGTCCCATATTTGATGGCCCCAATTAATGCCAGATAAAAGAGCATTAAGTTACATGGCAAACATGTCTTCTAGCTGTTTGCGACTACAAACATCAATCACCGCAACAATCTGTCCTACCATAATACCTAATTGGTTTTATCACATTTTGATGATACCAGAAAAAATAGACCAGCAGCTATTGCGTCCGTGCGAAAATGACAGGTTAGCCATGGACACAACAACAGCTTGGGAACCACCCGAAGGATAGAAGAGGGCTTTCATCAATAAAACTTACCTTAGACAAGAAGTTATCATTTCAAGGATATCATATCATTGCTTTTAGAAGGTCTCATCACNGGAATAGACTTAACATAGGAATAGAATGTATATTACTATCCTAATATTTGATAATAACTAGAATTAAGTGCTATAATAAAACATGGACTAAACATGGACTAAATATTAAATGTAACAGTGATATCATGTCAGCAATATCACTAATCAATAAAAAAACACCAAGTGGACAAGGTGATCCTTACTTGGATAGCTATTTACTTACATACAGAAAATATGAGTAGTTATTTGTTTAGGTAGAAGGATATTTATTAATTTTTGTAGGGTCTATTTGTTTTTTTATTTTGATATTATTGGTTGGTGATACTATGTCAACATTGTCACATAGTATCACCATTGTAATGAATATTTTTTTCCTAAACTCGGATCCGAACCACGACCTCAGACATAATCTCGGAATCATGACCCGAACTTAGACTCGGACTTGACTCGAACGCGAACCAAATAAAGTGCATTACTGAATACCAAATATTGGAATAAACATCATTAAGTAATGATTATTTTCTTCTCGTGCTTCATTACTACTTACCAAATGCAACATTAAAAATACCGGATAAACTATATATCTGTATTGCGAAGATCAATTACACATGAAAGTCCGATATATATGTTGGTATCTTGAAAGTCCCATATTTGATGGCCCCAATTAATGCCAGATAAAAGAGCATTAAGTTACATGGCAAACATGTCTTCTAGCTGTTTGCGACTACAAACATCAATCACCGCAACAATCTGTCCTACCATAATACCTAATTGGTTTTATCACATTTTGATGATACCAGAAAAAATAGACCAGCAGCTATTGCGTCCGTGCGAAAATGACAGGTTAGCCATGGACACAACAACAGCTTGGGAACCACCCGAAGGATAGAAGAGGGCTTTCATCAATAAAACTTACCTTAGACAAGAAGTTATCATTTCAAGGATATCATATCATTGCTTTTAGAAGGTCTCATCACATTTAAGAAGGAGAGTCTCTAAAGGCCAATAATTTTCTCAAATATTATTTGACAAGTTTGTTAAGATTCCATTATCATTGTGTATAAAAAGTAGATAATCACTTTGTCGGACGGGATATGTGTGAAAATAATATCTCAAGGGCATGTTTGTTTGAAGGATAATGGTGATATAAGAAAGTGGGATTAAAGAAAATAATACGTGGAGTCAATAATACCTTGTTTGTTTATCTTTTTTGTGTAGTACTATTTTTTAGGTCACAATACCAATCCGCTAGCTATAGTTCATCAAAACCCATGTACATGGGCTCATATAATACTACCTAGGAGGTGGTATTATTTTTTGGGTTTTGGCCACCAATAATATTAAGGAGATTAATGACTGAATTACCCTTCGGCCTTTAATGTTAATATGAGATTTTAGTTACCAACGATTTTTTGTTTTTTAATTTTATTATGTTTTTTTTAAAAATTGATTTTGAATTTTTTTTTCTTATATTATGTTAAAATGTATGGTGTCAACGGTTTTTTTTAAAAAAAAATTTTACAATTTTTTTTGTACATTCATCTAGAATGGAGTAATAGAATTGTGATGTTAAAGGTAAAATTGTATATTTGTTATGCAAGATGTGATAGAATAACTAGTTGTTTGTGAGACCTATGATAGACCATAACACCTATTGAACTAACAAATATGGGAAGAGATTAAAATACTTTCTATTACCGATACTAATTTTCATATGTATTAAAAATATAAGAAATACATTTTTCAATCCCATAAATAACAATACTCAAAACAAACATGCCTCAAGTATACTCACGTTCTTCTTACTCAATCAATACACATTATCATGGAGCAAGAACTTTCGTCACAGTGAACTAGCCTAATTTTTCAACTGGATGAATCACTTAATCTCACATATATATATATCTTATCTCATCACACACATTCTATACACCCCACTCTGAGCTCATCAGCACCTCTTGATGTTTAGCACCATCACGTTTCATGGACTTTAGGATTAATATGGTCTAAAAAACTTTGATGTTGAAGAGCCGTCATAAATGGGCAATACGATGCTTAGGCTGTTGATTATAGGAAGGAAAAGAGACTTTCGACGATTACAGTTAGCACAAGATAATTAGTTCACAACGTGAGTTTTCTTGGCTGGTCATAAAATTGGACCCCTGTCCATCTTTCTTCACACGATCGACGTCATGCACCTTCATTGTCCACCTTTCAGCTTCTTTCATCACATCACAAGTGAATTTTTTAACAAAACCAACTGATCTTGCCGTTCGTAATATTTAAGAATTAAAATTTCGTTTCCAAATGACTATTTTTTTTCTTTTCAAAGAAATCAAAATGAATTAGTGGTTGAATTTAAATTCTGATATTTTAAAATGTTTCTGGTAGTTTCGAGGTATTTTAGAGATTTTTGGCATGTTTGTACTAGTATTTTGGAATGTTTGAAAATGTCTCAGTATATTTCAACTAATATTTTAAAAAATAAATTAAATATTTGCTAAATTCATGGGTTTAATAGGTACAAAAAACAGAAAAAAAAGAAAAAAAAAGGCCGAGAATCAGAAAGTCGTTTGCAATTGGAATGAGCAGGCTGTAAAATTAGCCCATCTCGGTCCAAGACTTTTGGCCTATATCCTTCTTTTAAAAGCAAGCCGACTTGAGCCTTGAGGGCGTGTGTGTTCGCATTGGATATCATAGAATATCAATTGGAAATGCTCAAACAAATTTATAAGGGTTCTTTGGAATTCGGTACACTTTATTAGGCTTATTTGATAAAAAATATATAAAACAAAATGTGAGTTAAAAAGACATAAATGCTCATTTTAGGATCATTTAATTTAAAATCTCTTATCTTTAATGTACTTTGATTTATGTGTATTTGTTAATACATATAAATACGTATTTAATGCACCTTGATTCATGCGTATATATATATAAACACACACACACACACACATATATACAGTTGTTGTTAAATCTCTTATTTAAATTTTGAATTATTTTTAATGCACCTTGATTTATGCGTATTTTTTTTTTAAAAAAGTGATTTTGTTTTCAAATTATATTTAATGCACTTCGATTCAAGCGTATTTTTTTTGAAAAATAATTTTATTTTCAAATTAATTTAATATCTGAATAATGTAATAGTATAATAATAACAATATAACAAATACACTGTATCAAAAATAGTGTTAAATAGTTTTGTGTATATGGTAACAAATTCAAAACAAAAATACACTATTTTGAATGAAATTATATGAAACTATATGTTTGACAAAATGTAATAGTACAATATTTTCTGTAAATAGCTTATTACACTATTATTGTTATACTGTTACATTATTAGTGTTACACTATTATACTTTTATTGTTACACCGTTACAGTTTTATTGTTACACTATTACACTATTTAGATATTAAATTAATTTGAAAATAAAACTACTTTCTAAACAAAAAATGCATGAATCAAGGTACATTAAAAGATAATTCAAAATTTAGATAAAAGATTTAACAACAAGTATATATATACATATATATAAAAATATGTATTTATGTATATATAAAAACGTATATATATATATTAAAATTCTCCCATAAAACTAGGAGATGTTTAATGCACTACTTTTATTTTGAAAAGTGGTGCATTAAATACACATGAATTAATGGAAGGCAAAAATGTCACAATAAAAATAGACAAATTCAAATTATGTACTTGGATACAAATAAGTATCAAAATTAAATATTTAATAACTCTATATTTTTTAGTATGTACTTTTTGTCAAATATATCTAATTTGGTGTACCCTACAATTTACCCAATTTATAATGATGTGGATGCGGAGTCGTGCAGATTTAAAGAATTTGACGGAGAAAAATACCTTAATCGATTCATCGAGATACCTATGACTACGAGGGCTTCTCAAATATGAAGTCTTCACTTTTTTTTTTTTTTCCTTTTGTGGGCAAGTGTCTTCACTCGTTTTTTAATTCAGTTGTTCTTCTCTATTCTTTCCCTTGGGTATAAAAAATTACTATTTTTAATGGTTGAGTTACATTTCTTTTTAAAAAAAAATTACATATGATTAAATTTTTTCATGGTTAATCATGAAATGTTGCAATGGATTATGAACAATGTCAATTAGTTGTGATTAGATCTTTAAAAGATATAATTTGACCTTTAAAAATGGTAACTTGACCTTTAGAAATTATAATTTTTATGGTCAATCATAATTTTTTGTAATCAAAACAGAAAATATGATAATTGGTTGATATTTTTTTTTACATACTTGGAAAGATCAAAATTGAAACAACAAAAAAGTGAAGGGCATGACAACAAAAGGGTTAATTGCATTGAAGGTCCTCAAAGTACGAAGTTTGTCTCATTTTGATCTCTAATGTTTCAATTGTTTTATTTTGATCCTTGAATAATTGAATATGTTTTTATATGATTTTTCAACTAGACAACGTCCAGATTGATAACGATTTTTTAACATAAACTTGTCATCTAATACTTAAATATGAATAAAAAAATAATTTGGATAACTCTTGATCAAATTTCTACTCAAATTTTAGTTAAATAACTTCTTTAATTACACAATTTTGATAAAAAACTATCCAAATTTTAGTCAAAGTTTATCCATATTAACAATTTTTTGTCAGAGCTACCCAAATTTTATTTAAGAGTTATCAAAATTATTTTTTGTTTATATTTAGGTATTACGTGACAAGTTTGTTTATGATAAAAAGTCGGTAGTAATCTAGATATTGTCTGATTAAGAATCATATAAAAAAATATTTAATATTTTAAAAATTAAAATATTAAAGACCAAAATAAATTACACTCCATACTTTAAAGATTTATAGTGCAATTAACTCACAACAAAATACATAGTTTGACAGAAAGGGAAAGGTTGGATAAAGAAAGGTAAGTGCACATATTTTTCGGCCGGTTTCATTAATGCCATCCTCTACTTTTTTTCAATAATTAACGGTTATTTATAATTTTTGTGATATTTATAATTGATCCTAAAAATATTAAATTGATAGTAAGTTACCTCAAAAATTGATAACTTGATTAAAAAAAATGTAGGTCAAATCTTAAAAATTATAACTCAATATAAAAAGTAATAATTTTTTTTATTATAAATAAATTTAAAAATTTATAGAAAAATTCACAAAAATTATAGGAACGGTACCAAAATCCCCAGGGACCACTAAGATTCTTGATATTTCTAGCACACATTACAACACTAGCAACGTGTCCTTCCCAAAGCCTCTACTTCTCGAGAAAATAATGGAACTGACAACTCTATGTCATGGTGTTTTTCACGTTGATGTGGAAGAATCGTCCGTAGACAAGCGAATCTTAACATCTACCCATCTAATAACTATCTCAATTAGTAGTCATTTTGATGTTTAAAGTGAAAATAATAAATTATATTTTTTATTTTTAATATTATTAATAAATTTAATTTTTCAATTTTTTAAGTACAACAATATTAATTAAAATTTATATTTAATATTTGTTATTATATTTTAACTTGATGATAAAAGAGAGAAAGAATAATTGACAAATTATAATAGAAATTTAAATTTGATTTTTTTGAGGGGTTAAGACTAGATTTTTTTGGTAGTTTTAGTTTCACTGTTAGATTTTTTTTATTTTTTTCAAAAAAAAATTATTTCATGACTAAATTAATGTCTAATCTATTTAAGTTAAAATGTTTTATTAAAACATGAATTTAAATTTTTTATTCAAACTATTACTGCACAACTTATAAATTATGGAATTTTCCCTAAACTGAAGCCTTAAAATTTTTATTTTTTATTTTTAATTGGACTTATATTTTTATAAGACCTTTTTATAAAATATTTATAAATTCAATTTTTTTACATGAATTGTTTATAATATTTAAAATTTTGAGGTTTTTTTTAAAAAATAGAACCAAAAACTCAAGCTTTTCTAACCCCCTTTTCAATAGATAAGATTACGACGAAAGAGCTTCCTTTCATTAACATTCAGCGAAAGTACGTAGCTTCTTTGAATCTGAATGACTATTGCATTTGGGAATGAATTTGAGCCTCAAAGAGAGGTCTCTTTTTCTAATTATGAAATCGCTTATTCAACCACTTGTCCCAAAAAAATCACTACCGTTCTCACTTTTTTTTGGTATGGTACCAAAAAAAATGAGTGGTTCTCAATTTTTTTCATTAAATATTAGAAAGATACTCATTAAATGTGTGATAACTTTACCGATAAAAGTTGTACCATTTTTTCTAAAGATTGGAACCTCAATCGCCGTTTTTTTGTGATACTTTTCCTTTTACTGGTAGTAACCTAATCTTAAATAATTATAACTTCATATCCAAATATAATAATTTCACCATAAATAGTTATAACTTTTTTTTCAAAGGTTGTAATTTTACTTTTAATTGTTATAACTTTACCTAAAGAGTTTGTACCTCACTTTTAAAGATAATAATTTTATCTCAAAAGTAATAACTTTGTCTTTGCAAGTAGTAACATTACATTCAATAGTCATGATTGATCATGATTAATTAAGATCGATCTCAATGCCAATTTTTTTTTTCTTTTTTGCAATTCCACTCAGTTAGGATTGATCATGATTAATTAAGATCGATCCCAATGCCAATTTTTTTTTTTAATTTCACTTAATTATGATCGATCATGACTATATGAGATCGATCTTAATGTATTTAATGGTCCAAAAATTAGGACCAAACTAAATTTTTGGCGGTTTCAATTAAATAAGATCGATCACGACTAGCCGAACTTTTTTTTTTTTTGAATTGGTCCCAATCCTATATTTAGTTACATTAAATTGACTTGTAATTTCATAAAATTAATTAACATTTTATGAATTAATTTTAATCTTATGAATTTTAAGATTAAAACATTAATTTAAAATTCATAAAATTATTTTTTTTTAATTTTATGATCTTAATTAATCATGATTGATCCTAATTTAATGGAATCACAAAAAAAAAAATAAAAATTTGGCATTGGGATTGAGATTGATCTTAATTAATCATGATCGATTATGACTATTAAATGTAATATTGCTACTTACAAATACAAAATTATTATCTTTGAGATAAAGTTATCACCTTTAAGATGAGTTATAAATACTTTAAGTAAGATTATAACAATTAAAAATAAAATTATAATATTTAAAAATGAGGTTATAACTATTTAAATTTAGGTTATACCTGGTAATGGAAAAAGTACCACAAAAAAAAGGGAAGTTGAGGTTATAATGTTTAGAAAAAATAGTACAATTTTTACCGACAAAGTTATCACGCATTTAATGAAAAAAGTTGAGAGCCACTCATTTTTTTTCTGTATCGTACGGAAAAAGTGTGAGGGCGGTACCATAGCCTTCCCCACGATATAATTGTGTCACGTACTAATATTTACTCCTGCTTCTCCTAGAACGCAGAATCTCCCAGGTTATGGCAGTGATTGGAAGCTTTCGGGTCCCACTCGTACCTAGAAGTAATTTCCACTTCCCATAATCCGCCGTCCGATCTCACGAGCGTCTCAGATCTGTTCTATGTTTGATTGCACACGACACGAGTATCACGAACCAGAACAGGCATAGATGTGATCCTTTGTATTGCATCTTCAACGAATGATTTAAAATTTATAAAATCTTCGAATTTTAGTTATTTAATTTAAAATTTTATGTCAACAGATTATCTTTAAAATATCTCAAATAATATTTTGATACAGTAATATTCTATATTTAACGTATCATTGTAGCAATATATAAATATTTTTTATAAATTTTTTTTCTCTCTTTCTCTTTTCTCTTTTTTCTTTTACTCTCTCTCTTTTTCTCTTTCACTATTTTTTTAAAAAAGTAATACAAAAAAAATGAAAAATAATAAATAATATAAAAAATATATATATTTTTAAAAAATAATTAAAAATATAAAAAAATTATTGAAGTGTATATTAAAAAAGTGAATAGCTAATTTTTTTTTTTTTTTTGAATACTTAAAATATCTTTTGTTAGTTAGAGAGGTACTTTTAGCTGGTAGCTACAAAACACGTGAACAGAACGTGTGAAGGTGTGTGTGTGTGTCTGAGAGAGAGAGAGAGAGAGAGAGAGAGAGACGACGGAGTAGAAGAAGAAGTGTGTTTCTGGAGTCGGAAATGGCTTCGGACGAGGTCTGAGAATCAATTCTGTCGATTTACAGTTCTATCACAAGATTCACGATACGCATTTGATTGTTCTCACATGTTTGATTCGTCTATATATCTGAGTTGTTTTATTTTGGGTGATATACTTACTATGCAGGTTGAGATAGAGAAGAGTGATAAGGAATTGAAGAACCTAGGTTTTGTGAGCATGTTCGCGATGAACTCTCTGGTGGTCGCTTCATCTCTGTACGAAAATGCAAAGCAAAGCAGTGGTCCCTTAAAATCAGTCATAGGAACTGCAGAGAATGCTGTAACCACTACCGTTGGACCTGTTTATGAAAATTTCAAGGACGTACCTGGTGATCTCATTGTTTTTCTTGATCAAAAGGTATTCGTTAATTTGATATACTTAAAGTCCTTATTGATCATAAGTGTGTATATTTGCTGGTAGTTTGTGTTCACTTCATTCTGTGATTTTATACAATTGTTTGACGGAAAACTCGTATTTTAGTAATTTAGTATATAATTTTCAAGTCGTTTAAATTCTCGAATATAGATTTGATTCCAGGTTGAAGTGATGTTAGGAAAACCTGTTGATTTTATAATATTTTGCTAGTGATTGATGTCGTGGTTAAACAATTTAATGCATTTCTTGTTGAAGAGTGGAAAATTTTTGGCAATTTTTTCCAAAGTCAACATTTCATATTTACTTTTGATGCAAAAAATCACCAACTAGGCAGCGAGAATGAAGTCCAATCTGTCATATAGGAAATTTCCACTTTAGCATTTCACTTCTACACTTACACATAACAAATTCACAATGCCTTGTAGTAGATTTGGACTGGTTATTTTTGAAATAGGGGCAACATGTTTGTATTCTGTATTCAGGCTAAGAGCCAAAAACAGTACATGTTTTGTTTCATTTTTAACGAAGTTCAATTTTGAGCTCTATGATGGTGAGTGGTGACTCATTATATCTGTACAAGAAAAAAATATCGTACATTGATAATGATATTGATTTTTGGAAAACGAATCGAATTCTGAAAAATGAATCGACTATATTGGTTAAACCGAGTGCACTTTCCTCTCAATAAGACAAACAAATTGTCACAGATTGGGATTTAAGTAGTCAGATGCACTCACACCTAAGCTAGTAACGATTTTGAAGTTAGGTAAATAACTGGCAAGAAAAGAAGTGCATACCTTTGACTTAAACTTATCTTATATTTATAGGAGTGTATATCTATTTTTTATGGTTTAGAATCCAAGGTAGAATAGAGTGACACATCTATTTTCTAGTCAAATCTTCTCAAATTCATAATTGAACCTTTCTAAATCTCATTTCTCATTAATCGATTTTTTAGGTCACATATTTTTAATGTGTATCTTTAGGCAGTTTACTTATTGAATCGTTATGACCGCCTTTGGTTATCTATTATTCTGGCAGAGCCAATCCTTATCCCTTGAATAGTGGAAAGGGACTCCCATTCGGGTACTGATCCTGTTTGCTTGACCTTTTACCAATTGTGCAGGAATTTTACAAACCGAGCTGTTTGCTAAGTAGACTCCAATTCTGACCGGCTAGCGCCGGTTTCTATTCAGTTAATCAATTCTTGGCTCAGTCAAAGACACTTTTTGTCATACTGTCCTTGCTTACTTTGGTTATGTGTCATGGTCTAGTCGTGTACAGAGATAGTCTGAACTTGTTCAATATTCAATCCAATTTATTATTTTGTTTATTATTTAACTTTTTTGATCATATCTCCTTCTCCAATTTTGGTCTCGAGTAGTTCACACGATTGAATGGCCAATTCTTTTCCAAACCGTCGATTCAATTGTTTTTCAAGAATGTTGCCACGAAAGACTAGATGCTTTTCATTCCTCTTTTGTCCCTTTCGTTTTCTATGGTTATTCGGAATTAGTACAAAACAAAGCCTATCTCAAGTTAAGCTTTAAGAAAGAGATGTTTCCAAAATACCCAACAAGAATAGTAACTCTTAAATTTGGGAATTTAGTTGATTTCATGTTCACCGGGGAATTAAGTTGGCAGCTATATATAATTGACTTTCAGGAATAAAGAGATTTTAGTTAATGTTGTGATTTATAATTATACCTGAATATCATATATAGTCTGTGTGTGTGTGAAAGAATGATGGTTATTCATCAATTCTTTATTAATTCTTCCATATAGTATGTGAAGGGGTTTTTCAAGTCTAGTATAGTCGGTATTGGCATCTTGCATCTCAATAACGAAAAGTGTGGTTTACCATGGCATATATGGCGGTGGAAGATGAATAGTTACTCTTCTAAAGTTTTATAGTATTTGTGGTTTATTGAGTTTCGAGTAGTTTTGACATCTGAGTGGCCTTTTTAGCCTTGAGTAGGTACGTAAGTTCTTTATGTTTGTGTTGCAATTGAATAATCTGCTTCACTCGTGGTGGTTGATTTTGCTGTTATGAGAAGAAATTTTTAAAATTCTTTTTCTATGATAATTGCGACCTTTTTGTTTGTCCTCTGCTTCTGAAAACAATTGTCTGTGGCATTGCTACCCTGTGAATAAAGTGTTTGATCAAGGATCACTTACTTTCATTCTTGTCCTCCTGCTTTATCTTCAAGATAAAGGAGTTTGGTTTGGTATACCTGTCCACTTATAAATGTAGTTTATTCATCCATGTTGGATTGCGCTTTTTGTGTTAAATCATTCCATATAAACTTGTTGAGTAGCCATGGTGTAGTAGATGATTTGTTGATGCTTTTGTATTGGGGTTTTTAATCAGGTGCTTGGTTATAGCTGCTGCTTGTTTGTCACCCTTCTACCACTGATCTAATGCAAAATCGCTAGTGGTTTTTAGTAGTTCGCATTCAGGCAATCCTGTCTGTACCCCTTAATTATGTACTTCATTTATCCCATTCTTTCCGTATCCTCATATGCACCAAGTTCGCATCGTAAATGCAAAATGCTTCTGTTTCGCTCAGATGATACAAAAACGTTACAAGTATGAACTAAACTGTCCGGTTATATTTTAGGTGGATGAAGCAACAACTAAGTTTGAAGAGATTGCTCCGGCTTTGGTGAAGAATGTTGTCAGCCAAGCTCAGACTATGGTCCAGACGGCATCACAGGTGGCCCAGAGCTTAGTTAAGGAGGCTCTAGCTGGTGGCCTATACGCAGCCATTTATTTTGCTTGGACATTAGCAAAGCAGTTCATTTTCACCCAACTGGCATGGGTGTGGTATGAAGTCAATCGTTGTCCCCTATTACATGTAGTTGCAGGGATGGTTCTTCCCATTGTTGCTCTCTTGGCCGAGACGTACAACAAAGTAGTTTCATACATGGCTGCAAATGTTTGTATTATCTTCAGCTATGTCCCGTTGGTTCCTGTCAGTGAGATGGCCAAGGCATATGAACAGCAGGTTGAAGCAGCCGCAAGGAAGGAGGGTGGTGTCGCCATCTCTGCTGAGAGTGAAGCAGATAAGGATTAGGAGCCTGTCCTTGTCTGAGTAATGTTAGGGATCCCAAATTGCATCTCAAATGAGTGTAAACCATTGGATTAGTTGGTCCTGTTAATTTTTTTCAATGAAACCTACTGATCAAACGATAACAAAACCTATTGATCCAATGGTCTGCTCTCATTTAGGATCTCTTAGCATTATTAGTTCTTGACTGTGGGTTAGGTATGAAAGTGTTGGGCCTGCTTTAAGAAGCTTCCAGGAAGTGTGGGTTCGTGAGTTATTAGTATTGTGGATGAGTAACTTTGTGTTTTCTTTTCCAGGAATGTCAACATTGTTAAGTAATATTATCAGCCAGTGAAAAAACAAGTGAGGTGAATCTCATTTTTATTTTATTTTACAAGTAGTAGTTATTATTATATATTATATAGATGGGACATTTAGTAAATTATATAAAATTTATTCACTTATTGATTTATTACTAAGCAAAATTTTAAGCAGTCAGTAGATGACGGAGTCTCAAACATTTTAAACAAGTTCTAAGCTGATAAGAGCTCGACTCAACTAGCAAACGCTAGAAGGACTATACCAGCGAATATTGCGACCCCGAGAATAGAACTTTATTGTGAGAAGGTCAAACAAAAACAATGGCACATTACAGACAGAAGTCTTGTATATATGATCCAAGNTGCAAAATTTTAAGCAGTCAGTAGATGACGGAGTCTCAAACATTTTAAACAAGTCCTAAGCTGATAAGAGCTCGACTTAACTAGCAAATGCTAGAAGGACTATACCAGCACCAGCGAATATTGCGACCCCGAGAATAGAACTTTATTGTGAGGAGGTCAAACAAAAACAATGGCACATTACAGACAGAAGTCTTGTATATATGATCCAAGCCTTTCCAAGTTTTGATTTGTCAAGCACGTCCCAGGTTAACCATTCAAATCATTTGCTCAAATTCCCCTCGACTCATTCTCTCGNAGCCTTTCCAAGTTTTGATTTGTCAAGCACGTCCCAGGTTAACCATTCAAATCATTTGCTCAAATTCCCCTCGACTCATTCTCTCGTACAAGCAGCTCGATTCAAACTTAGGCTCGAGTAAAAATAAAAAAATATATCCAATGAAACTCAAACCCATAATTTTTTTATTAGATTTAAACGTCTTATACATTAAGCTAATAGTGTATCCGGTAGTATGGTTGAAAAAAAATAGAATGATAGAAAAGTGAGAATGAGACATTTTCTATCATTCAAAGAGAGAAATCTGTATTTTCTTCCCTTGTCTTTGGTAGGAGAAATGAAAAATATGACCGATTTGATTTTTTTGTGTTTGATAGAATAAAAAATATGGAAGAAAGTTAAAAATATAGATACATATTTTACTATTATATATATCTACTAAATATTTCCCATGCCTGAAAGTACGTAATAATAAAAAAAATTATGATCAACAATAAATATATTTGTATTCACACCAAAAATCAAATTACAAAGATAAAGAGAAGAGAAAGAAATTAAGCATCCGAATGTAGTTGAAGGGAGCGGTGGTAGATGGCAATGGTGATAAAAGATGGTGACGGTTATGATGGTGGCAGCCGTGGGTGCAATGGTGATTGTGGTGGTAAAGACAGTAGCGACGGTAGTAGCAAAGAAGATAGTGAGGCAGTAACGGTAGTGGTAAGGTGGCAACATCGGTGATGATAGTGGTGGGGTGGTGATAGTGGTGGTGGTGTCGGCAGCAGAGGTGGTGGCGACAATAGTAGTAGTTGTTGTGCTAGAAGTGGTAG